GACACGGGGTCGTGCCCTGGTCCGGGAAGATCCCACATGCCGCGGAGCGGCTGGGCCCGTGAGCCATGGCCGCTGAGCCTGCGCGTCCGGAGCCTGTGCTCCGCAACGGGAGAGGCCACAGCAGTGAGAGGCCCGCGTACCGCAAAAAAAAAAAAAATAAAAATAAATTGGGGAATGTTTCTACTATCCGTGAAGAAAGTCCTCTGGGGTGCATTTTGGGTAGGTGATCTGATTACAGCTGTTAACCCATGACTGAGAGGAAGATGATATTTCATGGTAACAATGTGTGGCCACAGTACCTGTTGGGATCTCCATAAGAGGGCTAGGGAGGGTTATCTTGGGACCCTGTGCCCCATGTAACGTCACCCTTGCTGTGGTGTTAATTCCGTTGCCTGCAGTTTCCTGTGTTGTTGGTCTGGATCCAACAGCTCTCCAAGGAGTCGCGTTGCGTGAGGGTTGAGTTGATGGCTCTTGTGATATGTAAAATCCCGTGACCAAACTTGAGGGTTTATTTAGGTTTTTGTTTGTTGTTAGGGGTTTTTCATTTCGTTTTGTTTCGGTACCATTTTTTCATTTACAGATTGATGTCAAATGAAGGAAAGGAACACAGACACACACACACACACAAACACCTGTCTGTTCTTGTCCAAAAGTGGGACATTCCCAGGGAGAAGAGAAAGGTTCCACTTGGTTCCTAAAATCACTGAGAGGCCCATCCCAGAATTCAGCCTGGTTGGTGGATGCCAAGGCCAATAGGCATCCTTTTAATGGTTAGAGATGCTTCATCGCTATTTATGGTTTTATGGTTGCCTTTGAATGGCTCTGTGGTTATTCTGTGAAGAAACAGGGAAGAATGATGAAATCCTCTAGGTACAAGAATTTGTGCTACTACATTAGGGTGGGAAAAGTCAGACAGTTGTCACTTTATGGTAATAAAAACCCAAGGGAACATCTGTCGTACAGGAAGAAAAGGAGTGAGGGGGACTCAACACAAAGGAACCTGCCCTACCGAAGATCAGCAAATAGACTTTACTCAAATGCTTCAAGCTGCAGGAAATTTCAGATACCTGCTGGTGTTTGTGGACACGTTCAGAATGGGTGGAAGCATATCCCACCTGGACAGAAAAAGCCTCTGAAGTGGTGAAAGCTCTCCTTAAGGATATTATTCCCCGATTAGATTGTCTTACACCCTTCAAAGTGACAATGGACCTGCTTTTGTCTCCAGTATAACCAAACAGGTATCTAAAGCCCTGCAAATTAATTGGAAAGTCCATTCCTCCTGGAGACCACAATAAACAGGAAAAAACCCAGAAAATGAATCATACATTAAAAAGAAGCATTGCTAAAATATGTCAAGAGACTAATTTAACTTGGGATAAGACCTTGACAGTAACTGTTTTGTTTTATCCAGAGTTTATAATTGTTATCTGTGGGAGGGTTGGAATTTTAATCCAAGTGTGACTCAAAGCTTTTAACTATAAACATGATGACATACTGCCCCCTAGTGGCGGACTGTGGAGAATTGGTTTAGGAAGGAGTAGGGCAAATTTGTAGCTCTCTGAGGGCTGCATGTTTGAAAACATTTTTTTTAATCAAAATAATACTCATACATAGCAACAAATTATTTTTATGGAGAAACTTATGATAAATAGATGCTTAGCACCTGGTCACTCTTAGTGTCTCTCCCCAGATTTGTTGTTTTTTTTTTAATCTTTTGCACATTTTAAATTTTGGCAATATACTCGTAGGATACAAAATTCTAAATACATATGATGATACTAAAGCCAAAGCCTTCCTTCCACTAAGGTCGCCTCTTCTGGCAGCCAGTGTTTTTCTCAGGGAGAATTTACACAGAATTAAGCAAAAAATGCACAACTTGTTTTACTTTTAATGGAAATGATAGCAGATAATAACATTTCTTGTTTCTCTTAATGCTTTTTTTTTTTTTTTTTTTTGCGGTACGCGGGCCTCTCACTGTTGTGGCCTCTCCCATTGCGGAGCACAGGCTCCCGACGCGCAGGCTCAGCGGCCATGGCTCACGGGCCCAGCCGCTCTGCGGCACGTGGGATCTTCCCGGACCGGGGCACGAACCCGTGTCCCCTGAATCGGCAGGTGGACTCTCAACCACAGCGCCACCAGGGAAGCCCAATGCTTTTTTTTTTTTTTTGAGCCAGAATCCTCCAATTTTAAATTTTAAAAATTATTTATGGGCTTCCCCAGTCTTACAGCTGAGTGATATTCTTCTGGATAAATTATTTAACCAGTTCTCTACTGAACAACATTTAAGTTGTTTCTAGTCTTTTCTCTTCCAAAGGATACTGCACAGAAGGCACTAGCACATCCGTAATTTTCCATGAATTTAACTGCAGATAAATTCCTAGAAATGGAATTTATGAATTCGGTAGACACTGCCAAACTGCCAAGGACATCTCTTTGTTATTGCAGTGAATTTAAGGACATTTTTATGGGAGAATAACATATGAATAGAAAAGTGTACAACTCAAGTGTTCAGCAACATTAATTTTCAGACTGCATGCACACACTTGTAACTAGTACTCAGATGAAGAAAGAGAACACTATCAGCCCCCAGGAGGACCCAGACATCACCTCCCCAAGGATAACTACTACCCCGATTTCAAAGGGCATACTTTCGCCTGTTTATTTAGAGAAGTAGAAGCACGCTGTGTGCACTCATAGGTGTTGGGCAGAGTGGTCCTTTTCGTTGCTGTATATAGCACTCCACTGGGAATGGCCCACAGGTGATGCATTCTGCTGTTGATAAACTTGGGTCACTTCCAGTATGTGGCTATGACAAACAGAGGTGCTGTGAACATTCTAGTTTGTGTTTTGTTGAGCCTGTTTGTATGTGTGTTGGTTGCAGAGGTCAGAGTAAGATTGCCAGGTCATGCAGTCACCATTCTTTAGTTTTACTACATGTTGCCAAATCGTTTCCCCAGTTTCCATGCCTACCAGCGTAGTAAAGAAAATTCTAGTTTCTCCACGTGCTTACTGAGAACTTTGGGAACTTTGGAAATGTTTCTGCTTTTAGTTCTCTGGTGACCCCTGACACCTCCAGATCAGTGATGGAATCCACCAGCTTCTGAGAGCCAGCCAGCCTGGGAGAAGCAGTCAGGTGGGGTCTCTTGACGATGTCAGCTCTTCTGATTTTTAAAACATTGAGTTATAACTCGTCTACTAGAAAATTATTAACCCTTTGAAATGTACGATTCAGTGATCTTTAAATTTACGAGGTTGTGTATCCATCACCATCATCTGATCCCGGAACATTTTCATCACCCCAACAACAAACCAGGACTGACTGACTTTCTTTTTCTTTCTTTCTTTTCCTTCCTTTCTTTCTCTTTTTTCTTTTTTCTTTCTTTCCTCCCTCCCTCCCTCCCTCCTTCCTTCCTTCCTTTCTTCCTTTCTCCCTCCTTCTTTCTCTCTTTATTTATCTGGCTGCACCATGTGGCATGTGGAATGTTAGTTCCCTGACCAGGGATCAAACCCATGCCCCCCCTGTAGTGGAAATGCAGAGTCCAGGGAAGTGCGGAGTCTTAACCACTGGACTGCCAGGGAAGTCCCAAACCAGGACTTTAATTAGTCACTCCCCAATTCCCTCCTCCCTCTGGCCCCTGGCAACCACTAATTTACTTTTCATCTCTATGAACTTGTCTATTCTGGACATTTTATATAACAGGAGTCATACAATATGTGACCTTTCATCTGGCTTTTTTTTTTTTTGCGGTACGCGGGCCTCTCACTGTTGTGGCCTCTCCCGTTGCAGAGCACAGGCTCCGGACGCGCAGGCCCAGCGGCCATGGCTCATGGGCCCAGCCGCTCCGTGGCATGTGGGATCCTCCCAGACTGGTGCACGAACCCACGTCCCCTGCATCGGCAGGCGGACTCTCAACCACTGCGCCACCAGGGAAGCCCCTTTGCTCTGAACTCTAGACCAGTGTCTAAGGAACCTTGGTTGAGAAAACACAAAATTTGTCTCCACTTCCCGTCCCTCCCTTCTCCTGCCCCAGCTTCAGCTGTGGTCTGACTCTTGCTTCCTCTCCTTGTCACCTTTGAAATCTTAAAGGAAACCTATGGCTTAGAGTGACCTTGACTCACACCCCACCCCTCCCCGCAAAGAGTGTCGTGTCTCAAAGGGCCTGTGAACTAAAGAGTGGGATTTAGGCTCCTTGTGGAATTCCAGAATTTCCAATCTTGCACCTTTAAATCTTTATTTGGGGTGGGGAGTGGTCTGTACCACACATAAACAGGATCCTTTGGGGGGGGGACTGAGAGAAAAGACTCGGGGTGGTTGAAAGCTCTTAAGAGGACGGGGATTGGGGGTGTTTAGAGAAGGAGGGAAGATCTCTATCATTCTGGGTAAAGGGATGGGGTGGGAGCTTGCCAAGGTGGAGAGGTCTGTGGGTGGCAGTGTGGGAAACCTAGGGGAGGAAGGGTGCAAAGGATGTGGAGGAGGGCAAGACTGAATGAGGCGGGTGCAGGTATCTGGAGGTGGCTGACCTCTGGGTGAACCTGGGCTCAGCTATAGCCTTGAGCAGTGTGACTTTGGGCAAGTTGTCTTCTCAGCCTTGGTGGGCTGTTCTGCAAAATGGGTACAAGCATCCTCCCAAGACAATGGGACTGGGAGCCCAAGAGTGGGGCGTGAAGGCTCTTAGGGACCAAGGGAAGGGTCTAGAAGCATCTGAGGGAGGAACTGCTGGGTTTCCGGGGCTCCCCAGGGTGCAAGGATGACCCACCCTCCTGCTAACACCTTTCCCTGCGGCCAGCCACACCAACTGGTCCTGTACCAGACGGGCTTGCCCAGCACTCAAGGACACTCTGAATCTCGCCTGGGCATTGGATGAGAAGACCTCTTACCAAAATGAAAAGGTAGAGACTGTTCAATGAACAGAACAGTACTTGCATGGAAATCTCACTTTGGTTGAAAAAACTCATGTGAGAAAGACCTGGAAGGACAGGACCTGGGTATCGCTCAGAGAGTCAGGACTTTTAAGACTTTATTTTTGCAATCTTTGCTTGACTGTATGCTCTGGTTCTCCACACTGCACAGGGTCTGCTTTTGTGATTCAATGGTTATTAAAAACATAGCTTTAAAGGCCACCCCTGCCCTCCTAGTCAAGTCTGAGCTCCAGGCAGGTCCACTAGGCCTGGGTGCTCTGAACTCCTCCCTCTTCACACCTGCCAAGTGCTGCCTCTGGGACTTTGCACTTGCGGTTTCCTCTTCCTCTTCACCCTCCAGCCTCCAGGTGGTGGGGGAGGGAGTGTTCCTGACCGCCTTCTCTAGACAGGGTGCCGGCTGTTCGCTTTCTCAGTCACACACAGCACTTCATTTTCTTTGCGTGTCTTATCAAACTTTACAACGGGAGACGCGTTCCAGGTCGCCTCCTGGGCTTCAAATTTGGTTTAACTCAAAAGAAAGTGCGGGGATTTCTACAGTCCGTTAAAGTGGCGCCCTCCTGTGGTCGCGGCCCAGACTCCGACCTCTGGCCACTCAACCCATTTAAAGCTGTGCGTTTGCATTCGATTCAGATATTACCCTTAACGTGAGACCACATCAAATATTTTTAGCCCACGCTTTCAAAGCGCAGTCATTCCTGAGCTCACGCTGTCACCGGGCTCTGGCGCGGTGAATGAAGGCGCCACACGGCCTGTCGCGTCCAACAAGCCCATTTATTTGGTTTACCGCGCGCTCAGGCCTGCATCACCGGCCGGGACTTCTCGGCCTGCAGCTTCACTCCGGAGCCCGCGAAGCCCGTGCCGCCCTAGAGGAGGAGGAGGAGGAGGAGGAGGAGAGGCGGTGGGGAGCTGGGGTGCCGTGGGGGTTCCCTAGCCCGCGAGGTTAGGTTGGGCCCCCGCTCCCTTAGTGGGGCGGGCCTCTGGAAGCAGGTCGGGGTTACCGGAAGGCTAGGGGACAGGGAGGAGGGGTGCCACTCACCCGCTGCAGCACGATGATGTCGCGGTCCGTGAGCTTCTCTCCGGTCACGGGGTCCACCATGTCCTTGCGAATCAGCTTCTCCACGCACTCCACGGTGACCACGGCCCCACTGCAGTGAGGGTGAGTGTGGGGTACGACGATCAGAGGCCCCGCCCCAAAGAGAGAGCCGCACCCCAAGCCCGCCCCGTCCCACAGGTCCCCAGGCTGTCCCCCAGGTGACTCACGAGGGCCGCAGGACGGCGCACGGTGTGGCGTTGCTCAGGCTGTCGCGGGTCACGGCACACACGTAGCGCTCGCTGCGCGTGATGAGCCCCACGCGGTCCACGGAGCTGTCGAGCGGCGTGAAGCGCACGGGCGTCAGGTCGGACATGCGCAGCGGCTTCCCGGACATGGGGCAGGTCACAATGCGCGACTGGGGAGCAGGAGGGGGGCCGAGTCAACAGGCGGGGCTAGAGCCAGGCGGAGGGAGGATGGGGGTCCCTGTGAGGGAGGGGAGGGGGCCCTCAGGACCCTGGCCCTCTCTGGCAAAGTGGGCACACACAGGCGCTTGCTGGAGTAGGGGGCTCACCGGCTTCTCCAGCTTGGTGGCCTTGGCCTCGGGGGTCAGCGATGGGATCCAGAAGCTGGGCAGCGCTTTGTCCTTGTCCTTGCCTGTGGGGCCCGCGCTGGACCCGGGTCGGGCACCATCTGCGGGGGGGAGAGGGGTTCGGACACAACCAGGGAGGCACCTGGCCCCGCGGGAGCCCCACCCACTTGCATGTCCACTTCTCTCTCACCTGGGCAGTTCCCGGAGGCAGCCTTGGGCGTGAAGGGGTTGAGGGGCCGGCTCACGATGGCCGCCTCCTTCTCCAGGAAGCCCCGCACCTGGTCCTGCGCGGCCGCCCGCCGCAGCCCCTTCTGCTCCTCACGCCGGGCGCCCCGCTGCTTCTCGTAGGCCTGTGGGCAGCCAGGCAGGAGCGGGCTAGGCATCCTCCTGTGGCTTGTGAGTTTGGGGCACCCTAGGTGGGGGCTGGGGTGCCTCTTTGAATTTAAAGGTGGGTGAACTGGAACCCATACAGGGGAGGTTCCTGACAGAGGCTCTGTCTGGTAGAGGCTGGTGACTGCCTGGGTGTGAATCTTTAATCGGCTGCACAGTTATCCATGGTGTGCCTCTGCTGCCTTTGCCTGTCCCTTCACCAACTGTAGGACAGTTAAGCCATTTCCACTTTAGCTGGTTTGGGACTCGGTGGTCAACAGCTTGGCTGAAGCGAGACTGCCAGAGCTCAAACCCTGCCTTTGTCACTGATTAGCTCTGTGGCCTCCAGTAAGCACTGTGACCTATCCTGGCCTCAGTTTCTTCATCCGTAAAACGGGCTGACAATGGTGACCTACCTCGGAGGCTCACTGGGAGGGTTACACAGGAGGATTTTTTTAAAACACTTAGCACCTGGCCTGGCACATAGTAAGTGCTCAATAAATGTAATTTGGGGCCATATGTTATTAATTATACAGTATATCTTATCACTTATCTATTATGCAGTCCATACAGTGTAGACTCTGTCCCTGCCCTCAATGGCCCGAGTTCCAGGATAGTAGGGCGCAGAGAAGGTTTATGGAGCCATGAAGGCTCAGGCAGCGTGAGGGCAAGAGGAGACACTGCTCCGGCCACCGAGTGAGCAAGGAGGGAACGCTGACGCTGACTGACGCTCGGGAGGGCTTCCGATGTGGGCTCCACGATGAGGGGGCCACCAGGCTGGGTGGAGGACCTGGGCAGAAGGGAAGCCACGCACTCCAGACCAAAAGCTCAACAAGAATCTGGCCCCCAGTGCTTCCTGAGCTCTGGAAAAGCCGGCAGGACAAGGAGGGAGACAGGGTCCCTCCTAGCCACAAAATGAGCTCAGCAATGGAAGGTGGGCCTGGCTCCAAGAAAATGCCTAAGAAGTTCTTATCTGTGAGCATTTCCCGCATGCCCTGCAGTGCCCTCTAGTTTGGCCCTGTCAGCCCATTTTAGAGACAATAAAACTGAGGCCCAAGGAGATGAGCTGGCATCCCTCATTTACCAAGTATGTCCCGAGAACCTAGGGCCTTGGGGTGGGTGAGAGCCCCGCTCCCTGCCCCTGGGGCCTGTATCAGACAGCCACAGGTACAGTCACAACTGTGACAAGTGCCAAAAAAGAGGTGACAGGGGCAGGCCCTCAGGGCCCTGGACTAGCAAGAGGCCAGAGGAGGCAACACCTGGGCTGAAATCTGGAGAACGAGAAGAATTTAACCAGAAGTGGGAGGGGACGGTGTGCCCGGCAGAGGGAACAGCACAGGAGAGGCCTGGGCGGGGAGGAATTTAGATGGGAGGCCCAGCATCGAAACCACCTACCCACGCCTGCACCCCCTTCTCCCAGCCTAACCACCTTCATCTGCCGGGCGATCTCCTTCTTCTGGTGCAAAATGTACTCCAGGATTGCCTCCCGCTCATACAGGTAGCCATCGGGGCTGCAAAGAGAGGAGGGGATGAGAAAACATGGGCCTGGCCCAGGCCACATGGCCAGAGATTGAAAGTCACCTGCTGCACATCAGCTCCCTGCCCAGGGCAACCACTAAGCGTCTTCTAGGCAGCTGCTCACTCAGGGCTCGGCTTAGCTCTCTGAGGTGACCGCACTGTTTTAACTCTCCTGCCTTTATAATGTTCTCTGATGCGTAGGCAAAATCTCGCACTGTAAACGGTTAGCTCAGCAGGCCTGGGCCGTCCAAACCCTGCACATTCCAACCAAAGGACTGGCTCCTGGGAGGGCACCTCTAGGCCTTGGAATGTCCTGCCTGTTAAGAGTGTCTCTGTTTGCCTGGGAGGTTGGCACCATGTGGTGTGAGCTGGACCTCTGGAGGGGCTGAAGACCAAGGTCAGCCAGGTCTAGGTGACTAACCTCCAATAAAAACCCTGGACACCAAGGCTGGAGCGAGCTTCCTGGTGGGTAGTAACTGCTGCTGCGAAAATTAAGCGCTTTCCTGCGACTCCACTGAGAGAGACAAAGGAAGCTTGTGCCTGGTCTGTCTGGGACTCTAACCCCATGTGTCTTTTCCCACTGCTGATTTTATTTATTTAAAAAATTTTGGGGGGTCTTCCCTGGTGGCACAGTGGTTAAGAATCTGCCTGCCAATGCAGGGGACACGGGTTCAAGCCCTGGTCCAGGAAGATCCCACAGGCCGTGGAGCAACTAAGCCCGTGCGCTACAACTACTGAGCCTGCGCTCTAGAGCCCACGAGCTACAACTACTGAGCCCGTGTGCCACTACTGAAACCCGTGCACCTAGAGCCCATGATCCACAACAAGAGAAGCCACCCCAATGAGAAGCCCGCATACCACAATGAAGAGTAGCCCCCGCTCGCCGCAACTAGAGAAAGCCCGCGCGCAGCAACAAAGACCCAATGCAGCCATAAATAAATAAATAAATTTATTTAAAAAAAACATTTTTTTGGCCATGCCACGCGGCATGTGGGATCTTTTATTTATTTTTGGCTGCGTTGTGTCTTTGTTGCTGCGTACGGGCTTTCTCTAGTTGCGGCGAGCGGCGGCTACTCTTCGTTGCGGTGTGCAGGCTTCTCATTGCGGTGGCTTCTCTTGTTGCGGAGCATGGGCTCCAGGTGCGTGGGCTTCAGCAGCTGTGGTTCATGGGCTCTAGAGCACAGGCTCAGTAGTTGTGGCGCATGGGTTTAGCTGCTCTGTGCTATGTGGGATCTTCCCGGACTGGGGATCAAGCCCGTGTCCCCTGTATTGGCAGGCGGATTCTTAACCACTGTGCCACCAGGGAAGCCCGGCATGTGGGATCTTAGTTCCCCGACCAAGGATCAAACCCACGCCCCCTGCACTGGAAGCTCGGAGTCTTAACCACTGGACTGCCTGGGAAACCACCCCCATTGCTGGTTTTAATCTGTAACCTTTTGCTGTCATAAGCTGTCATTTGAGGATAACTGCTTCGCTGAGTTCTGCGTGTTCTTCTAGTGAACCACTGAACCTCCTGGTGGCCTCGGGAACCCTGAACCACGATCTACTTTCATCGCGATGTCTACAAAATGGACCAGTAATTGAGCACATATTTAGTCAGTGGACTAAGTACCTTCCACCCATTATCTCGCTGAAGCCTTTGCCAGACGCTAAGAGGTAGGTAACAGTAAGCACTCCACACGTGAGCTGTTATTATGGGCTAGCAACTTTCCAGGAGCCCTACCCTCTATTGTGAATGTATTCTTTTCCACACCCCATGAAGCGTACTAGGATCATGCCCATGTCTCAGAGGAGAACACTGAGGCTGCGCGAGGGTAGGTGGCTTGCCAGGGCGCCCTGGCTGTGCAGCCCCCTCCTGGCGATTCCCTTGCCCTCGTCACCCTGACCCGCCCACCCGCCTTCCCAGCTTACGTAACAACAGGGTCATGGCACGGCTGCAGAGAGAGGCAGCAGCAATCGAAGTCCTTGACGGCATCCCGGCTCAGTCGAATGTTCTGGGTGCCGTAGCCTGAGGCCGCTGGGGACAGAGAGAGGCAGAGGGATGGAGAGGCAGGAGATGTGCCCTTCTCCAAACCCGGAGAGAAAGGCACAGAGAGGACTCCGAGGTAGGGGGACTCAGAGAACAGGCAGTCAAGAGCTTGGGCTGTGTGTCTGCGTTGGGGACAGGGCTGCACAACCCACAGGCAGGTGTTCATCCCCAGAGGGTAAGTGACAGACAGGCCCTGTCCCTGAGGCAGCTCAGGGAAGAGGCTCGTAACTGACTCCCCTCGGGCCTTCTGGCTCTGTGACCAAGCTCAAGCGTCTGTACCTCTCTGGGCCTCAGTTTCCGCCTCTGGAATATGGCCTGACAACAGTGATTCCTTCCTCAGTGGGTGTTTGGGAGGCTTAGCATGGAAGGCACTTAACGCAGTGCCCACGACAAGGCAGGGAGAAGGTTGCTGGCTCACGTGGGCTGTTACGTTTCCCGTCATGACCATCAGTCACGTGGCTGTTACTTACACGGTCGGGGGAAAGACACATGCCCAGAGAGCACAACCAGAGGAGCAAAGTAACATGGGGACTTCAGGGTCCATTTGCCCCCTCCCCCAAACCCAGTACCTGTGTCCTTCTTCTTCTCATGGTAGGTGTAGACAGCCCCCGCCGTGCAGTTCTTGCCGTGGCGCGTCATCCCGGGGGGTAAGGAAGGGGCAGCTGCAGGGCTGTGTGACCAGAGGGGGCCCACGCAGAGAGGACTGGACCTTTCTGGCCCCCGACTTGATCTGATGGGAAAGCTGGGAGTGGGGCAGGGGAAGAGAGTTTTGTACACGTTAAATGGTTAAGAAATGCCTATACCTCCCAAAAACAAATATGGCACTTAACCCTGAAAAAGACCTGAAGTTTGCTTGTGGAAGTGGTGTCGGAAGGGGTACACGTTGTGAGTTACTGTGAGGTGGTGGAAGGAGGGTTATCTGATGGAAAGTTCTAGCACCAGATGTGATCGGTGGGGCTCGTAACACGAATGGGGAACTGAAGCGCCCAGTAGATGTTCTGGATGTGTTGAGCGTGTGCTCTGTGTATGCCTACACGCTCATTTCAACCAAGCGCACCTGGCTTCATTTAGGTGCAACATGCCTTATGTTCAAATTGTTCCCTAATGTATCCATCGCACTGGAATAAATCTCGAGTTTTCGAAACAAGTGTTAGAGCAGAACTGACTGTACACGGAACGCTGGCAAGTCAACAAGAAAAACCCAGCTACCCCAAGAGGAAAATGAGCCGAGGATATGAAGAGGCGATTTACAGAAGCAGCTCAAAGACTAACAGGTAGATGGAGAGATGCCTCAAATTCTCCTCACAGGAAAACCACAGTGAGACATCATTTTAAATCTATCACTAGGCTGGCAGGCGAAACTTTGAGAGCTGGATAAGGTAGCTGGATAGGGTGAGGGTGGGTGATAGGAATCCCCTCAGGTGATGCTGGGGGAACACAGGCTGGTGGTACTTCAGCAAAGTGAGTGCAGGCGATTCTGCACTTGGGTGTATGTGCCCCAAAGGCGACACCAGTAGGGAGCATGTGTGAGGATGTTCACAGTGGTGTTATTTATACTGGAGGGGAGTCAAAGGCAACTGAATATCCCGCCCTCGTGGAATGGATAGTGACTGCCCCTCATGGAGACCACCCAGCAGTGGGATGCAACTGACTAGGTGTGTACAGAACATCGTGGGTGACTTTTTTTCTTTTGGCAGTGCCATGCAGCTTGTGGAATCTTAGTTTCCCAACCGGGGATTGAACCCTCACCCTCGGCAGTGAAAGCGCTGAGTCCTAACCACCAGACCAACAGGGAATTCCTGTGGGTGGACCTTAAAAACACAATGCTGGGTGAAAAAAGTAAGAAATAAAACAATCTGCACATGAACAAAACGATACATTTTAAACACCTGCAAACAAAAGATGATGCATATAAGAATGACTGCCCGTGTAGGGGAGGGGACTGACCGGGGGATAAATAAGAATAAATGGAACAAGAAGGAGGGGTTACATGGATCAAAGGAATAAGACCTGCCTGGGCTTGAGTCCAAGGTTGGCCCCCTGCTGGCTGTGACTCTGGACTTGTAATTTCCTCTCTGAGTCCTTTGGTAAGAAGTGGGGAGAACCATAGGATCTAGTTGACACGACTGGATTGCTGTGTGGACTAAATGAGGTCATACTCAGAGCATGGCATATGGAATGTTCAGGAAATACTCTCTCTGGCTCTGTGGCTGAAAGGAGGATCCAGAAGGTGGGAGGGGAGGCACAACCAGGAGCACCCACAATGTAAAAGGCAACTTCATCTTATTTCCCGGTTCCGGATGCTTTCAGAAACTTGCCTTTCACTTTCAAAACTCAAACACCTCTCCTTGAGCTACAGATCTCGCACGCCCCCTACTGGCGTCTTCCTCCCAGAAACCCATTTTTTGTTTTGTAGGTATATTTACATAGAATAGATGCACAGACCTTAAGGATGCAGCTTGATACGTTTTGACAATTGCATACACCCTCGTAACTACCCCCCCCCATCGAGATGCGGAACATTTCTATCACCCCAGCCGCGGCCACTGTGCTGATTGCAGAAGGTAACCTTGGTGAAACACCCCAACTCCACCCACCGCCCCTCCTCCAGCTTCCCCTCACCCCCAGCTTTGGAGCAAGTCCAGCACCTGCTGCCACCCAGCTCACCTGCCATCCCCCTCCTCCGCCCTGGCCCCATGGCTTCCGCCCCAGCTCCCCCCTCCCCACTGGCACTCATGAAGGTCGAGTTCACCTCCTCAGGGACAAATTCCCCACTCTATTCTTAGTTGTCAACTGCTTTGACCCTCTGCGGTATTTGGCACTGGGCTGCTTGTCTTGTAGCCAAGTTCTTTGGCTTTGTGGACCGGGACATTTTCCCTCTGAGAGAGAGAGGAACCGCTATAGATGGAGCATTTCTTTATTTTGCCAGGCGGTCATGGGAATAATCCCAAGGGACACTGCTTGACCCCTGACCCCCAGGCCAACTCTCAATCATCCAACCTCAGCCACCCTCTGAGGTCCATCCCACCCCCATCTCCACTTTGGAGAGGGGCAAACTGAGGCACAGAAGTGAAGCCATTTGCCTAGGGCAGTGGTTCTCAAAGGAAGGTCCAGGGACCCCAGGGGTCGTCCCTAAGATAGTTTCAGGGAGTCCACAAAACTATTTTTGTAATACTAAATCATGTTTGGGACTTCCCTGGTGGTCCAGTGGCTAAGACTCTGTGCTCTCGATGAAGGAGGCATGGGTTCGATCCCCGGTCAGGGAACTAGATCCCACACACATGCCGCAACTAAGAGTTCGCATGCTCCAACTAAAGATCCTGCGTGCCGCAACGAAGATCCCACGTGCTCCAACTAAGACCCAGCGCAGCCAAATAAATAAATAAATAAATAGAAAGAGAGCGCTCTAAAAATAAATAAATAAAACAAATGCTTTTGCCTTTGCTCCTCTCCTTCTCTCAAGTGTCTAGTGGGGTTTTCCAGAGGCTGTGTGACTTGTGCTTGTGCATCCTTGGGTTTTAAAAAATGTCTGTTAAAAAAAAAAAAAAATGTCTGTTACATTATGCGGAGTGAACAGAGCCAGGTACAAAAGGCCACGTGTTGTTGATTCCATTTATATGAAAGGTCCAGAATGGGCAGATCCATAGAGACAGAAAGCAGATTGGTGGTTGCCACAGGCTGGGAGAAGGGGGGACCGGGGGCGGGGGCGTGCAGTGGCTGCTAAGGGGTATGGGGTTTCTTTCTGCAGTGATGAAAATGTCCTGAAATCAGAAAATGGTGATGGTTGCAAAAACAGTGATTGTACAGAACACCAAGAATTGTATACTTTAAATGGGTGAGTTTTGTGTCATGTGAATTATATCTCAATAAAGACAGTTTCATGCCTGTTTTCCTTTCTCATATGGCAAATCGCTTTTTCTTTCGGCCATGCAGCGAGGCTTGTAGGATCTTACTTCCCTGACCAGGGATCGAACCCAGGCCCTCAGCAGTGAAAGTGCCGAGTCCTAACCACTGGACTGCCGGGGGAGTTCCCCTGATATGGCAAATCCTGATAGACAGAACTCCCACAAACAAAAGCTTTTTGGAGTCCTTGATGATTTTTAAGGTGCTGAGACCGAAAAGCTTGAGAACTGCTGACTAGGGTTGACCAGGGGTCAGCAGCTTTATTGTCTCCTCAGTGAGGAAAGCCTCAAAAGAGAAAACAGAACTACTACCATCTCACATCACTAGCTTTTCAGAGAGGCCACGTCCAAAGTAACATCAGCTGTTATATATCCTCCTTCCCATTTTACAGAGGAGAAAACAGGCCCATGAAGTCCCCCAGCTGGGAAGTGGCAACAGAGCCAGACTCGAACCCAGGCAGCCGGGCTCTGGAGCCTCACCCTTAACCATGTGACAGCTGCAGTCCTCCTGGGGAGGTTACAATCCAAGAATAAAGGCCAACTCATTCCCGTTCTCTTACAAAGTCTTCAAAATCCAGAGTCTAGTCCACTCTCTCAACACATCTCAATTCAGACACGAAAGTTTCATTGCAGAAACTTGTCCTATATTTCGGGTTCATAAAATTTACAGGAGCAAATGTACATTCACACGCCCTGCTTGTGCCAAACGTACTTAAAAGTTTTCCAGGAATTGAATCCAGTATCGGTGCTTGAATTTAAATTAATTAAAATGAAATGGTTAAAAAACACAGTCCCTCGGGGGCACTAGCCACATATCAAAGTGCCCCACAGCTTCTGGGGACTCGTGGCTACTGTGCTTAAAAAACATGACCACAATACCATTAATGCATTAATAATCCCTTCACATCCTTTACTATCCAGCTGGTATTCAAGTCTCCCTTATTCTCTCCCGACTGTCTTTTTCTGCAGTTGATTCGTCTGAATCCTGAATCTCTTGGGGTCAGAGAACCCTCTGAGAACTAAAGGATGCTACGAGCCCCCTCCCTTTAACAGTGTGGGTCACGTGGATGCTGCAGGCCGTCCCAGGCGGGCGGAGACCTGTGTTAAAGGAACCCAAAGGGTCGATCACACTCAAGGAAATCACAGACACAAACAGGATGTGTTGGAAGCAGGAAAGAGGGAGCTCCCTAAGAGCAAAAGCGAGGGTCTGAGATGTTCTATTAATAATGACTGGTATTGGGGCTTCCCTGGTGGCGCAGTGGTTGAGAGTCCGCCTGCCGATGCAGGGGACACGGGTTTGTGCCCCGGTCCGGGAAGATTCCATGTGCCGCGGAGCGGCTGGTCGCGTGAGCTATGGCCGCTGAGCCTGTGCGTCCGGAGCCTGTGCTCCGCAACGGGAGAGGCCGCGGCAGTGAGAGGCCCACGTACCACAAAAAAAAATAAAATAAAAATAATGACTGGTATTTATTTAAGAGGTTTGGTGAACCTGGCCCTGTTCTAAGTATTTTATACATATTAACTCCACCAGACGCCACAACCCAGTTGCTACAAACAAGGAAACAGAGGCAGGGAGAAGGTGCCCAAGGTCATGCAGCCGGGGTCTGACCCAGGCATGAGTCTGTGGCCTTCACCACCCGTGATGCTGTAGCCTCAGGCACTGTGCTGACTCTCACCGTGGAGTGGGGCAGCTCCTGTAACCCTGGACCTTCCCCCTGGAAATCCTGTCCCCTTCCTCCTCCCAGGCTCCATCAGGAGTTGCCTCTTCCGGGAAGCCTGAGTTAGGCATTCCTGGTGCTCTGACAATGCCCTGATTTCCGTCCATTATAGCTGCCACCCCTCAGAATTTCTCCCCCCAGACTAGAAGCCCCTAGAGGCGGGGGCTGGGTTGGACTCCAGGATGGGTCCTGGCACTGCATGGCACCTGGGGGGCACAGAGATGTCAGATAGATGTTAACCACTTCCAACCCTAGGGCCAGGAGAGGTGTGTAATCAATGAATGAATCATCCATCCAATCAATATAAAAGCACTACAGGAATAGAAATGACCATCACATCCTTCCAACACTTATGCACCAGGCCCTGGGCGAAGCGCTTCACAGTTCTGAACGCGTTCAGTCCTCGGGATAACCTGCAAGGTAGGTTCTCCCCATTTTAGAGGTGAGAAAACAGAGGCCCAGAGGGATTAACTGGTCTCTTCCTCAGTCTGTTCCTTGACAGAGGAGCCCTGGTGAGCTTTTCAAAAGGGAGCTTAGATCACGTCACTCCCTTCTACTGCTCCTTGGATGTGGCTCAAGGTGAAAAACAGCTTGGATAAAGAAATGTGGGAGGAATGAAAGAATTGGAAAGCCACCATTTTGCAACCCCTGATGACGTAACTGATTCACTAAGGCACCTGATGGCAACTGGACATCCGCAGGGTGCTGATACTTGCTAGTAGAAAGGAGAAAAACATAGCTTTACGACGGCGTGTCTGTGCTGTTCCTACCTGTATTCGTCAGCTAGGACTGCCAAAACAAAATGACATAGGCTGTGTGGCTTACACAACAGACGATGATTTTCTCACAGTTCTGGAGGCCAGGAGTCTGAGATCAGGGTGCCACCATGGTTGGGTTTTGGTGAGGCCTCTCCTCCTGGCTTGCAGATGGCTGGCCACCTTCTGGCTGTGTCCTCACAGGGCGGAGTGCTTGCTCTCTGGTATCTCCTGTTCTTCTAAGGACACCAACCCCATGGATTAGGACCCCACTCTTATGACCTCATTTAACCCTAATTACTTCGGGAAAGGTCCTATCTCCAAATAGTCATATTGGAGATATAAGATTTCGGGTGGGGTTGGGGACAAACGTTAAGTCTGTAAACACTACCTGAAGCCCCCGATCAATCTCACCGTCCCTAAAAGTGGGACAGCCAGGTGTGAAGCTAGCAGCGCTGAAGCAGCCATGCCAAGATGCCTGAAGCTAAATTACTCAAGCCTTTCAATTTAATTTCCTGATTCCAGGAAGCCAGAGGCTATAGCAGGGATCCGCCAGAAAAGGCTAGAGAGTAAAGATTTTCACCTTTGTGGGCCACCTGCCCCTGTCACAACTACTCAGCTCTGCCCTTGTATGGCAAAGCATCCATGGACACTATGTAACTCAATAGCCATGGCCGTGTTCCCATAAAACTTCTTTTATGGGCACTGGTATCTGAATCACATATCACAAAATATTATTCTTCTTTTGAATTTTTCCAATTTTTAAAAAATTGAAGTATAGTTGATTTACAGGATTGTGTTAGTTTCAGGTGTACAGCAAAGTGATTCATATATATATTCTTTTTCAGATTCTTTTCCCTTATAGGGTATTACAAAATATTGAGTATAGTTCTCTGTGAGATACAGTGGATCCTTGTTGGTTATGGTCTTTTCCAATTATTGAAAAATGTTAAAAACCATTCTTGGTTTGCAAGCTGTACCAAAACAGGTGGTGGTAGCCAATCATCTGTCTGACAAAGGAACTGTATCTAGAATATATAAGAAATTTACAACCCAATAATAAAAAGACACATAACCCAATTTAAAAATGGGCAAAGGA